GCGTAATCCACACCCAGTAATCAGGCGGTCACAGGCAACCCGGCTTCATCAATTGCAAAACACTTCATGACAACAACCAAACACAACTGATCCCGTTTCCTCTTTCAAACCGTTTTTACGTAACTGTAATGCCAAATTGTTGGCAATAAGTGAGGCGTTGCTAATCCGATTACATCATCCCGTTCTGTGCGCCCAAAAGTTGTTGACCCAATCGGTTCACTTGCAGTGGAGTTGACCTGTTGTTTTCAATTCTAATAGCCCCTGTGTATGTGTACATGTTCGTTCACTAGGATTTACAAATCGAATGTGCTACAAATGTGCTTGTTTGTTTAAAGTCAGTGATTGAGAAGATTTACACAAAGTGTTAACATCTCGCAACACACCTGTGTTCTTTCGGTCTTGATGAAATTGATTAAAAACAGCTGTGATCAACTTGCATGCATGACCAAATTTAGTAATGAATTTGCCTCAAAATTTTGGTTGTTGTTTCCTTGCTTGATCAAAGCTTGATCAGAGACAATCCAAAATGCCAAAATCACATGAAGTAATTTCAAACACATGCTAAGCTATTGGATCTTTGATTTTTATTATTTCACATAATTTCGTTTTTGTCTTAAATTCTTTCCCTTTCACCGGAATTTCCTCGCTTGAATACAATTTTGTATCAGGACTTGTTTAACAGTCTGATACCGAACAGATAACCAAATCGAAACAGCTGTAATGCACTTCCTGGTATGCCAGCCCATGACTAAATTTATGATATACATTAACTAGCCACGGCTACCAACCAGCTTTGATATTCAACACGTGGATTATGGAGGATAATTGGTCAGTTATTGGACAGAATCAAGAAGTCCGAACCGATCCGGTCGAACACTGTTATTAGTAAAATCAGATCAGTTACAGTGGTTGCGCATCATACATATACACACACAGACATACATGGACCATCAGGCGAACAAAAATGCATTTGAGGAGTGACTTACTACATCCTTGAAAAGTCCCGGACAGGATCATCTTGTATTAGCCGAGGTGGTGGCGATTCTCAAGGTGATTCAGTCGGTCACTGCACTTCCACTGATCTCCCTTCAACTGACAACCGATCGAGTGACCCTGAGACCCAAATACGGAACAGCTCATAGAAAATCACTGAGGCATTCCGAACCACAACATCCTCAACAAATTGTCGCTCAATTCCATATTTGTACACCCGGATAGTGATATCAACTACTCGCACTTCGGACATTTTAAGCCATACAAGACAGTATTGAAAATTATATTGGGAAGAAAAAAATCGTTTTTTACTGTTTTCCTAAATCTAATGTGTCTCAATCCCAAACAATGATTCCATATTAAATATGGCACTAAAGCGAATTAGTGTAATAGTACACGGAATTATAATACCTTAATGCACATGCGATCCTTCAGATCAGGCTAACCTCAGACCGAATTGGAACTAGTTTTCGAGCAACATGAGCTACCCATAGTTTCCTTGTTTCAGCCAAAAGGTGCAATTCTACGGGACCAGATAAAAAACGAAAGAAAACGGAATATTGCATGTGCGCAATAAAGGATTTGATTCAATTTCCAAGGGGGAATTCCTTGTGTATAAGGTAAATGAAGCGTAAACTGAATAGCTAGGAAGCACTACTGGACAACTGTTTCGACCGGGTTGGGTTTCATGAGCAATGCGAATCCCAACTGGGGACTGAACCCGGAAATTGAATCGAATCCTCCATTACTCACATGAAACAAGTCGTCAGGTTTTGAATGTTTCCAACCGAGTCATAACCCTGGAGGCTAGTGCTGAGATGAGTGAGTTCCGTGGCCCGCAACAAACTATATCGTGTAAATGGAAAATGGAAAACGGTC